CACACCTGCAGACTGCAGAGATGGATTGGAAGTCGCGGTTTCTTCCAGATCGGCCGCCGCCCCGGCCCCCTCATGCCGGGGTCGGCGGCAGCGGCGCAAGCCCTTAAATATGTATATATATATATATGTATGTATGTAGCCATTTGCATTTGATTTTCCACGTTTTTTCCGTTTGATGCTGCATTGTTCCTATACTCCTCCATCTAAACCTGGGTTCTTGTTGAAACACTATTTAAAAAAGATTTGTTTAATGGATATTGGACCCAGGTATCCATACAACTGTAAAATTTTGTTCAACAAGAGCCCAGAAACCCTAAACCCTATTAGGGGGACGGGTTTATCTGTCATCCTGAGTCCCCTGTGTGTGCTCTTTTTTTGTTTGCAAGTTGCTTCTACACAAGCCGGCTTGCTATGTACAAGCAAGTCTCGATGGTGACCCCTGGACCCTCCAGCTTTTTGTGCAGAATGCGGAGGCCTAAGCAAACCTAACCTTGGGATGTATAAGCCCTTTCTTACTGGTTCTTAGTAGGGCAAAGGCCCTGGGATGACAAATTACAGAAGGTCTCCAAACAATGGGATTTATTCCAGGCCCAGGGGTCTGCCGGACTACCCCTTTGCCCAAACGATTTGGGCTATGATTTTTAAAGTTACGAACAAGGATTCCACATGAATTTGGTCGGCTTCAGGTTTAGGATTTGGTGTTTGGATTCTGTGTCTAAAGCTCTGAGGGCTGAGTTGGGAAAGGATGTTGCTAACAGGCCTGCCTTTTAAAATCATTTTCTGGTGGCCTCAGAAATGCCAGGTTCGCGTTCCCAACAATGGCCTTAAATTGAGTAAGTGGCATTAGACAAGGTCTCTGCACTAGAGCCGGCGCAACATTAATACCGATATAATATTCCCTTATTCCTTACTAAGAACCAACAAGCTTAGGACCCCAAGCAGCATTTCTTTGTAAATTGGCAGCTTGCTAGTCCTCAAGTATCACATGCAGAGGCCTGTCGATCTCAATGTACATGACGTTGTCAACTTCTCCTTTGGCCAAGAAGAGGCTCCTCAGCGAATGCAGGAAACTAGCGACGAATGAAACGAGTGATGGGAAGGCGATGTCCCAAAATCCGAAGCTGTACCCCGAATGCTTAGTAAATGACACCAGTTTGATTCGCACGTGCGAAAGGCGGCTCTTCTCAAGCTGATATTTATTTGTTGTGCCAAGGTGCCCAACATCAGGCACTTGTGGACAGCTTCCCTGGCAGAAGCAAAAGTACACACAGAGCTGCCAATGCCTCCTTCATAATGGTCTCAATTCAGAAGCTGAACCGGGGCGGATATTCCACAATTATTCCCGAAGACCACAAAATCAGCTGGGCTGAAGCCATCATCACAGCAAAATTGCACCTGCCTCGTTGGGGACTCTGAACCTCGGCCCACCATAGACTCTTCAGTTGAGGTCATACGAAATTGCGGCGAGCACTACATGTTGCATGCCAAGTAGCAAATATATGTCCACGACTTGCTTCAGAAAGCATCCGCCCCCTGTATCCATCTCAACCAGCGCCTGCAGAAAATCAGGAGGATTCGGTGAAGGACTGCGATGGACTACAGCAGGGCATGCTCTTGGTTTTCCTCCGTGCTACATGCCGGCAGTCGAGTCTTCTGTCACGGGAGCAGAGGATTGTGGAGGAAGCCTGTACTAACGGCTGGCTGTGAGGGCTGCGCGTCTGAAGCACCACGTACAGCTGCACGACGGTCACGATCATTCCCAAGCATTCCGGCCGAGATCTTGATAGTACTTGGATGTGCCAGAATAAAGGCCCCACACTCGACGCCGAGCACCTAGAGCGCGACCGCAGGGCCTCAGACTCACAGCCATCAGAGCCAACCCCACGCATGTCACGGGTCATGTCTCGACTGCTGGCAAAGCTTCCGTTTCCAGCCGCCCCTCAGCTCCTGGCCCTCCAAACTCCAGTTGGCGCCACTCATCTGTAGTGGCGTCGATGCCGGTGATGCTTTTTTGGGCGACTGCGGTCGTAACCTCGGTCTTCGTAGGAACGCCTCAGATGCTTCTGTTTCCAATTTCCACAGGCATACAGCACATCTGCAATATCTGCAGGAGGTACAGTGGTGCAGTGACTGACAGTCAGCACGAGATGAAAGTTGCAGGAATCTTTCTAGGTAAACTTCGCAGATTGGGACATCTGTCTATCTCATGCCGCTTCCATACCAGGCAAGCCTCTGCCGTCGGTGTCGGGACCTCCGGTGATTTCGTTCGTGTCCTTCGTCCCTGACCAGGATGGGTTCGGGGGGAGGCTGCAACCATCCTGTGAGAACATGAGGGGTTTTCCCAAAACTGGTACTTTTCTGAGGATCCCGTTAATAAGGACTATAGTATATTGGGGTCCATAGTGGGGTGCCCCTATTTATGGAACCTGCCATGAAGGTGCAACAGGCAATGCATCTTCGAGCCCGTCCTGTCAAACTCATAGTCATCGTCATACTCGTCTGCTTCATACTCCGTGTAGTCATCAAACTCACTTACGTAGTCTTGTCGTCGTCGCCTTCCCTGTCAATGTCCATGCAGTCGTGAGCTGTAGCCACTCCTAACCGTACAGTCACCTTGCTCCAGTAAATCTTGCATGAACAGTACCGAGATAGACTCAAGCATTGCTTGTCTTGATCCCCTCCCCCTAAGATGAAACCCCCATGCCCCACTAATAGTAAATACTCCCATTATGTGGTAGATTAGAATATATTGCGAATATTTACTATCAGGGGGAGGTTCAATTTAAGGGGAGGGGATTATTGAAAAGGCCCCATTGATGGCACAGCAAGCTTGGAGTCTTTCGGCCTATGGGAGAGGGTGGGGTTGATAGCTGGAGTTCCTGCTGCAGGCACTACCACGGGGCTCCGATTCCTTTTTTTGGGGGTTGATATAGTCTTTGGTACTGACTTATCATATACCATCAAACAAGGTATTGCATAGGAGCTTGTATGTAACACCCAACGCACATTTTCCATATCTGTAGTCTAACTTCAGCTGCAGTCAAGAGGCTCCTCTCCTCCGCTCTCCTCAAGATCGACTCAAACGCAGAAGTTTCCGACATTAGTATTTCCGTCTCCGTTGTGAAGAATCCCGTGCCGCGGTGACACCCCCATCAGGAGACCACCAGTTGAAGGATAAATCATTTGGAGAGCCCAACAAGCAGTGCTCAACCAAAAAACGTCCAGCTGAAGCTGCCTGCTGGGCATCTGCAATGTTCCGAGCTTTACATTTTCGGTTGCGCCAAGTGGCGTTCGGTGCGACTGCGCCGGCTTCTTGCTCGCTTACTTTTCTTTGCTGTGCCTTCCACCTTGGCAGTCATGGCTTCAGTTCGGGTGCAATGGACCATTGTGACAGCTCATTCCCACTTTCCTTCTAGCTGAGAAACGCCATTGATCTGGACAAAGTCTCCATCATGATTCCTGTCCTCCATATTCACTACTCACTCAGATCTCAAGAACATTTTGTTGGAGCCCTCACAACTCAGTTGTGCTCCTCCTGAGCATCCTTTTTGGGCTTGAAGTCAACAGGCGCCCTTTCTCTGCTCCGGACCTTGACTGCTCCAAAAGTCGCAAGGACTCTCAAAGTTGAAATGACAGCTTGGCTACAAGCAGATTGCTAAAGAAATTTGCTGTGAGCTGGCAGATCTCTGGCCCTTGGCAACGCTCCGCCGCAGATCGGTTGAGTTGTCAGCGGCCTCATCGCACCATCGTGGATGTCGAAGTAACACTGGCTAAAAGCTGAACACTTGCGCCATGCAAGTATATGCCACACATGCAGACAGGCGTCACGATGTTTTCCGTCCTGGCGTGCGCTTGGTGCAGGGCTCGTGGCCTGCGCCTTCAGGCAATGTGTTCATGTCACACTTGAAAACGCATGATAAAGGTTTCGCCCAGAGGTCCTTGGACTTGCGTTGCCTTTGCGCCCTTTTTTTCTGCAGCTCCTCATACTTTTCCCTGACCTGCTGGTAGCCTGGCAACTGACACATGACATACTCACGGTCCAAAGCCAGGCAGATCAGGCAAATACGTCGCCAGGATCTAACTACGTGAACTCAGCGAATGCTTGAGAGGCCTTCATGCACGCGAAAGTTCAAATGCGCATTGTACTCTTCGTCGCCCAGATATCCAGAGCCGCAGATGTCACACACTTGAGGTGGGAGCCTATCTGCAGCCTTCCGCCTTCAGACTGAAACAGCTCAATCAATCAACTCTCGCCGCCAAAAAGGCACAGACAGAGGTTAGACATCATCGTTGCTCTTGCATGTCTGCACCCAAGGCGCAACTCAAGCCTTTGGAAAGAATCCGCTTCTTGAGTCAGCTCGCGCGACTGCCGACGGAGCGTTGATCTTGGCATGCAGGGCTCAAAAAGCGGCATGTGAACCAATCAACATGATCCACGTGAATTTCCAGCTGGGTGTCGACATGTTGTTGTAGCCACCAGTTCGCATGGCCATGGCCTGCTGCTCCACTCAGCCAGCATAAAACCCAAGTGGTACGCACGCACCTGTTTGCACCCTGAGCTTTGCACGTCCAAATCGTCTGCGCGTTTCAGCTTGAAAGAGGCCTCTGCAGGATGTGATGCCAGGCAAGCCAAACAAACTCATTTGACCTAGGCTTTCTCTGCTAGTGTGGTTGGACGGCCTTCTAGCAGCAAAACAAGGGGGCATCACCGGGCAATTCTTACCGCAACGGCAGCATTCTTGCCAGTGACCCCTGCTGACTTCTTTCTGTGGATATCCAAAAGTTGGCTAGTCGGAGAAGAAGCTTTCAGGCTGATCTGCTGGCAGGTATCAGGCCTCCTCCCTCATTTCCTTTAGCTTCTCCTTCACCTGATTGATGCAGTGACTTTAAGCAGTTTGGTGCAAGGATTTGTGCATGTCCATCAGCGCCCTTATCATATCAAATGACAAGGCCAACAACCCCTAGTTCCAAATCAATTCCTGCCGCGATTAGTGGAAACTAAGCCTTACATTCCTGATGCTTGGGCAGGCCTTTTATGTCTTCATCCCAAAATGTACCCAGCCACTGTGCTGTGGATCAGAGTGGGGTTCTTGGGGGCACCCCTCCATCCGTTGTTCGGGATAATACGTGAGTGATCCCTAGAACTCTGAGTCTGATTAGGGTTTAGGGTTGATGAGAATAACAAACCACAACAAAAAACGGGTAAGCCGTAATTGTAGCAGCTACTCACAAGAGAGACGTCCCAGAAGCACCTCTTCTGGCAGCACCTTTCGGCGGGGATCGTCCTTCAATCGATCCAACTCTTTGCGGCTGAAGGTCTCGAACTCCTTAGAAGCAGGACTCCCTAGCTCAACATAAACTGAGCAATGCTTGTCTTGCATGTCATGGGCCTTACATAAGTAGGCTGCCTATGTTTGGTGAAGGGGCAGGGGGAAGAAACACCTGTTGAAAATTATGCTGGCGAGTTTTGCTTGAGAAACCTGGTGCATCTGTCCCTTGGTGGCTCAGGGTTCAGGCTCAACCAGGAACCAAAGGCCTGCAGGCCGGAAGTGTCTGGGTTATCGAAATTGTTATGCGCATTTCAATTGCGGCAGCACCTGATAGCTGCGTGATTTGCCGGGCTACTCTTCCTAACCACTTACAGAGGACTTTTGCGGGCCATCAGTTTGGAGTTGCTGAACGCTTAGCAGCCCTTTAGGTACCTGACTACCATCAGCAACACCAGCACCAGAATGACTGTGCATGTGAAGGAAGCGGCCTGCCAGGTGAGCTTAATAATAGTAATGATAACAGTCACAGCAACAGTTACACGGGGTTGTACAGTCCCGGAAACTATCATGGAAACCCACAAAGGCCCTATGAAAACTAGAGTCCTTCTAAAATGGGACTATCTGGGTGTCAATGTTAGCTTGGGGGAGTGTATAGGGATAATGGAAAACAAAATGGATACTACTATAGGCAATTCAATCCGAGGGGCGGCAAGGACTTCCTCGCACTGATTGAAGCACTCCTCCTCCTATGATGCTTCGCTACTTGAGGGATGAGTACGAAGTGAATGAAGGTGTATCTTAAGCAGGCAAGGAACTGAACATAGGTAAGGGAGTCTCAGAATGCAGACCCCTTTTAGGTGTTGTTGCAGCCGCGCTTCTAAAGCCTTTTTTTGGGCAGTGGGATTTGAGTGGGGATGGCAGAGTCCGACACAGACAATAATAATAGGTTATACATGGGCTATATAAGAATAATGGAAAATAAAATGGAAACTACTATATCATAGGGCTATATAGGGTCCAGATCATCTAGTATCTGGCCACTAACAAATATCAGAAAACGTTCTATATCACAGCACGGCTATGATTTATGTTCTATGTAGTATTCCGAGTCTCAGAGTTGCCATGCAGGACTAGATGTTCCCAAGTTCCATTGTGTTTCCCATGTTCTTTTCCATTTGGTTCTCCATGATTGGGGCCATGTTTCCCGATTTAGCCCCATAGAACCCCTATATAAAACCCTGGATACCCCTACATAACTCCTTTAAAGGGATCTTATGAAGCGAACAGGACGGCTGGGACAAACCGTCGATGCATGCCCGGGCGGCGTATTCGACGCGTGTCTCGCTGTGCTCACCACCTTCAGCATGCTGCATAAAGCGCTCCTTGGTGTGGTGTAGGGTTAAGACCACAGTAGAGAATTTGTAGGGATAGCGGGTTCCGAAATTAGGGGTTTCTTTTTGGTGGTCCTATGATAAGGGTTAAGGTCATCAAAATATTGGGATCCCTATGCCTATGCAAACTACCAGAAAGGGATTCGTGATCCAAGCGAGCAAGCCACTCGCAAAATGGCTCTCAAGATTGTACAAGGGGAGGTATTTTTCTCTCCGTTAGGAAGGTATGCTTGGGATCCTCCAGGGGATCTGGAAAACTATAATACCCTTTAACTCTGGAAATCAACAGGAATACAAGCTGTTGCAGGGTTGTCAAGGTTTCCAAAGAAGGTTTGCAAGGTTTCCAAGGATGAGGTTGTGGAAGAGACAGAGATTTAGCCATGCTCGCCACCCACTAGTAGTGGATAGGGCGGAGAGGGTAGGACTCTATCAAAGGTCATGCAAGGGTCCTTGTTACATCGAGGTTTCTTGGGATTTCAGAAGCATGTCTCGAGGGAATGATCTGGAGCTAGTAAACCTCGAAAGACTCCAAGCATTCACGGCTCCCGCGAACACGGTTCACAGCGTTCTAGGACCTATATACTTAGATCTTCGACAAAAATCAAGGGAGTAATGGTTTCGGACAAGTGCACTACAGATTCGACCCGCTATCCACACCCCCCAAAAGAAGTGGCAGACCAGACTTGCTACACGTGAGACAAGCTGCTCGAATGATATCTGAATGAATTTTCGCACACACCTTCAGATCGCGCTTCTGGATTCCACCAAGCACCGCCTTACATCAGGCTGGCTCAAAGAGGGGATGGCCTTGCCTGTAGCCAACAAGCCTCAAAAGGCATGAAAGCACCCAAACAGGCGAGTAAAGGGCCCTTCCTTCATATGACCACCCCTCTACAACATCTTAGGGGTCCTACATAAAGCCTCTATGAACTGCCAACAATAACCCAAGAACGCAAAAAAAAAGAAAACCGAAGATCAGGACAGCGTGAGGTATTGCTGAGGTGAGAGAGGGGGCTGTGCCAGCTCAGATGGGAGCCTTGTCGTAGGGGCACAATCCAACCAAAAAGCTTCTGCAAACCTTGGCCACATTTGACAAGACAAATGTACTAACATGGCTTGCTAAGCTCTCACATGGAAAGCCTAGGAAAATGTGCCCAAAGTATCTCAGCCGGTAGGACCGTGGCAGTCTTGTCCTTCCAGTCATTTGAGAGGTCCTTGTTCTTTTTGCCTATCAGGAGGCCATGAGCAGCAGGAAGACCAAGGACATTATATGCGCAACGTCGACATGACAATCTCCCAGCATGCAGCAACCTAGGCAAGCAGGACTGTCAACTACATGCTCAAATCAAGGCCTCTGTATTACACGTTGCCAAAAGACGGATGCAGTTCTAACAAGGATCACCAAGCGACACGGAGGAAACAACAAACACCATCATGATTTCATCACACCCTCAAGAAGCAGCCGGTGCCCAAGCCCCAGCGCCTACGTCTCGCTGAGGGCCCATGAGGGCATCGAGCATAGCTCGTGCTTCGTTCATGCCTGGGTTAAGCACCATGCAAGACTGCTACAAAGAAATAGCAGCAAGACGTGGTAGTCTAAAGTATGTTGCACCGGGAGCAGTACCAAGTACACGGCTGATAAGAGTTGCAAGAATTCACCTGATGCTCGCATCCTCATCCACGTTCAGAACTGCATCACTTTACACTTTGCGCCCTGCTTAACATCTCGCAAGGCCCAGGACCTAGCTGTTGCCATGCAAGCTGTGTTGGATGCAGATTTGCATGCCTACACACCTTACATTGCAGGGTCCTTGGAGAGTCAAGGGGACTTAGTAAGTAGGTTAATAAGGGGGAAAACTGGGGTTACTATATGGGTTATAGGGGTTATTACTCTACTTCCCAAGTCCCCGTGACCCTCCAAGTAGTGCCCCATGCCTGGCAGGAAAAAACCAAGTGTCTGGTCGGATCACACTGGCCCCGCAGTTCAGGCAGCGAGATCGTTGCATCGCATGGCGGAAGTCGATGAAGACGGCTGGGTTTCAGTGGGTAAGGGTATAGCTTCCCTGAAGTAGATTTTTTGTAACCCCTACGCACCGCTCCTCCATCCTAAGCTAGATAGACCATAGAGTATGTGGGTATCGTATTAGGATATCGGGCAATTCCGTATTCTATCTACCCAAGGGAGACTATACACCCTAAACCCTGAACCCTAAATAGCAGTTGCCATTTTCTTTTCCATTATCCCCATATAACCCCAATATAACCGTAACATTCTATCTACTCAAGGGGGACTATAGATTCAAGCAAGCTCGGACCTAGCCGTTACTGTTACGAGTGAGCATGGCATGGTACTTTCCCAAATTCCCTCGATGTAGTCCAAAGAAGATTGGGACCCCCAAAAAGGTACCCCTAATTTTGGGAAACTCTACACCCTTAATAGTAGTTTCCATTTTCTTTTCCACTATACATAACCCCAATATCAACCCTATATAACCCCTATAATAATCCCTATATAATCATCACTGAAATGCATGGAGCTTGAGCACCCAAAGGGCTGGCCAAGTCGTATGATGCAGAGTGTATTCAACATGGCCATCATGGACCTTCAGGACTGAAGCACGGGCTAGACGCAAGAGGCTGCATGTCTTGACATAGAAATGTCACATATCCGTATTCTATCTACCCAAGGGGGACTATACACCCTAAACCCTGAACCCTAAATAGTAGTTTCCATTTTCTTTTCCATTATCTCCATATAACCCCAATAGAAGTTCTGCACTACCTTTTGCACCTGCAGTCCCGGAATTACATTAGTGTCTGGACCCCAGATCGTGCAAGAGATGCTTGTTTTTGGAGAGCCTGTATCTGACGTGCCTGGAAGAGATACTCGAACTCTATCTCCTCGACATCCCTGATGCCAACATCATCCTTAACCTGGCTTTAAAGACGGCTCAACCTCCTCCTAATGTTTAAACCCACCACCTCCCACCCAATATTGATTGTTCCCAATAATTTTTTGTCAAAAGACATTCTGTAATTAGCATCGAATCTCAGGCTGGTTAATTGGGTGGGATCCTGATAGTGAACCACCCCCAATATAGAGTCTCTCTCTCCGCGCCCCCAACATAGTACCAACGGAGGAACATTGATTTGGGAGGGTTTAGGGCTTGGTAATTAATGACTCATCCCACCCCCAATAGCAAGATATTTCCGATGCGAGACCTCATCGATTTGGGAGATAGTTTGGTATTAGGAGGCATGGTCTACGTTTATGGGTGCCCTCAGCGAATTTCTTCATGTATCGGGAAATGATGCAAGGGGAGTACTATAGTCTTAAACTCCAAGTATCCTCCTGAAAAACCACTATAATACTCCCCTATATAGTCCCCTATATCGCCCCCTTTAAGGAGCTTAGACTATAGCTCATTTAAGGGCTCTATGGGGATGTACGCATTTCGTTGCTCTCGTTGCAGACGAGGGACGGACTTCATGGCAGTTGGCAAGGCTGGGTCGCCTTAGGTGTTATACTAGGCTTATGTAGGGATAATGGAGGATAAAATGAAACTACTATAATGAGGTATGAATATATTATAGGGAAAAATGCGGTTGAAGAGGGATGATGGAAAATAAAATGGAAACTAGTATAATGGGTTAAAAATAGATTATAGGGTATAAATTGTGGTTATGTAGGGATAATGGAAATAAATTGGAAACTACTATAATGGGTTATATATAGATTATAGGGTAGAACTTGTGGTTATATAGGGGTAATGGAAAATAAAATAGAAACTACTTTAATGGGTTATATTGAGATTATAGGGTATAAATTGGGGATTATGCAGGGATAATGGCAAATAAAATGGAAACCACTGTTTGGGGTTTGGGGTTTAGGGTTTAGGGGTTGAAGGGTCAGGGGGACTTTAAGTAGGTAACACGTGGGATGACTGGGTTACTATATTAGGGTTATAGGGGTTAGTAACCTACTTACAAAGTCCCCCATGACCCTCCAAGTACGAGTACCCGGCAAGCCTGATTCCATGAAATAATGAGCTTCTGGAAGCCAAGTGATTCGGGAATTAGGGGCAAGCTGATCATAATCATCGGCAACTGGTTTGCTACATACACCGGAGTCCTGCTACCCAGCTCCGAGCTGAGATATCTGCGATGTTCGCTTCACACCGTGAGCGCTCAGCAACTTTCAGTAGCCAAACCCCAAGCCGCACTAACGTAAGAAATTCGCAAATGCATAGGCTTTACCCCTATATAACCTTATATAATATAATAGTTTCCATTTTCTTTTCCATTATCCCTATTTTCAAACAGCCGTACCAATAATTTGAATAAAGCCGGACCTTTGCAGGCAAGGCATGGAAGCTACTATAGTATAATGGGTTTAGAGTTTAGCGTCGCATTGGCATAATTGAAAATAAAATGGAAGCTACTATAGTATAATGGGCTCAGGGCTTGGGGTTATCTGATTTCGCTGTGCACCTACGCCATAAACCGTAAAAACATTTGCAGCCATGGTTCCCATCTTGATGTGGCCCGTAGAGCAGTTCCACTTGCCACCGAAGTGTCGCTTCTTCGGCGACCGTTGCCTCGTTTAGGACTTTAGGTTTTAGCATGTAGGGCGTGGGATTTGGTTATCTAGAACATATATGGGATTATGCAGGGGTAATAGAGAAGAACATGGAAAGATCTCGATCAAGGGTTTGGGATTAAGGCTTTAGGATCTAGGGCGCAGGATTCAAGGTTTACTGATGTAGGAATTTGGGGTGAAATGTTTAAGGATTTTGGCTTTGGGATTCAGGGCTTACATGGGGTCTTGGATGTGGGGTTTCGAGCCCAGGGTTGAAATTATGCTTTCAGGGTGTTGGGGTTAAGCAATACAGGGATTGTGAGATGAGCTGCTTAATGAGAGCACCACAAAGAAGTAGTGTACGGCTTACACATGCATGCACATCTACACATGGACA